CCTGTGAGAGAACCCCCCACTGGCCAGAGGAAAAAATAGCTGCTAGCCCCATCCTACTGTTTCAGATTCGGGGTGTAGTGAGGAGGGAGGGGCAGGGGAGACAGGGCTGAGGAGATAGTTCTGAGCCTCTTTTACTTCCCTGCAGTAGAAAGAGAAGGAGGTTACAGGAAAATGCAATATTTATTTGAAGGACTGGAGTGAATCATAAAGATATCGTGGGGACATTTAGGCACCTCTGTGCATATAGAATATAATTTTTAAATGTTATAAATTACACTATGTGGAAGAAGCTTCTCAGAAGACTTAGACCATTTTCAAACTTCTTGTCCCCTGAGTCAAAGCCAGCTCTGAGTTCTAATCTAGCCTTTGCCAGGACCCGGCCACCAAATCCTACTCCTCAGCCCAAGCTCTGCAGCCCTGCTAGCCACCCACCTGGAGCCCAGCATCCTGGCAGCTGCCCCTACTCACACAGCGCTGTGAGCTCCAGGAGCAGGCAGGGTCCTGAGAAGTTAGCCTCATGAGAAGGAGCCCAGCATCATTTACCTGGCCCCCATTTGGTTTTGTCCTTTAACTTGCCCATCACCCAACCCCCCAAAGCAGCAGCCTAGACAGTGGCCACAGCTTGAGAGGGAGAGGCTCTCTGACCAAAGAGGAAGTGAGTGGAGAATGGGCAATGACCCTATCCAATGGGGTCAATGACCCACCTCCTCCCCAGTGAAGCACTGACAGAATCAGAATCTCCCTGATGTTAGCATTTTGTCCCTCACTCAACAGCCTAGCCACTGAATTCTGATTGTCCGTGGCTTGGGAAGAGTATAGGACCTGGGAATCCATCAAACCCCAGCAGCTGGTTTGCAGCCCCAACCCACCTGCAGCAGCTGCACCACCATCTGCTGACCCCCTCAGCTCTGCAGCCCTGTTCTGGGCAGTGGACCTGAGGCTGCCGACCTGGGCCATCACGTAGACGAGCTGGTGAGTCCCTGACCAAACACTGGATGGGGTGGGGGGACATGTAGGAAGGAGGGCAATGTGGGGAGGGTCCCGTGTCTCTTACCATTTGTTGTCACAAAACTTGTAGCGATGGTCATCTGCAGGGACAATGTCAATCAGCAGGATGTACTTGGTCTTGGGGTTCATGCCTGTGACTTTCACCTTGTAGCTGGGGAACATCCTCCTGGGGTGGCCAAGGGGTGAGGCAGAGCACGGGCAGAGCACCAGGAGAGATGGCAGGGAGTGAGTGAGGGACAGACGTCCTTCCCAGGCACTGTCCCTTTCAGTAAGGGATCTGGGCACCTGGTGTGATTCAGCCTACTTCCCCTCTGCCTCCCTGAACCGCTGAACCGGGAGCACTAGCCACTCTCGCTGAGTAGTTAGCCCGTGTCTAGGAGGGGAGTTTACATGGCTTCTCAACTGCAGATCCCCTCTCCCTCGCACCCCCTAAGATGCAGGCATAGCTGCTGTGAGTAGCTATGTCTGGGATTGGAGGGGAGAATTTTGACACCAATCTGGCTGCCTGAATTTCCCTCCCGTCCTTTGCCAGCCTGCACGCAACTAAAGTTCTGGGGTGCCATAATCAGGGGCTGGGGCAGATGACCTGAAAATCCATCAGCTGCTTCTGTAAACAATGAGATGCTTCCTCCCATGGAAAACAGAAACAATGGGCAGGAAAACAGAAGTCTTCGCTAGAAATCCTGCTACGTTTGGATTTTTGGGGTGTGTGAAGCAGGAGAATTTTTCACTGTCAATGCCAACATGGGCCTGTGTCCCCTAACTGGGTACCAGGGGAAAGTGGGTCCAAGAGCCTTGCGAGTGAGAGCAGGATTATTATTTTTTTAAGGTTTTGTCATAGGGCATGTGCCCTCATCAGGAGAGAGACAGAAGCAGTGAGAGGGACTGTGAGAAATCACCTCCCCAGAGGGAATGGCTATGCCACAGTCCCTTCTCTTCCATTCTCCTCTCAGGATCTTGGGCACATGTGCACACACACCCCACATGAGTTTCAAGCAGCCAGGTCTGGGATCCGAACCATGGTCAGCCATGTGGGAGTCCAGTGCTGTAATCACTACACCAACTGCTGCCCCAAGAGCAGGATTCTGAAACCAGCCTGCTATGGCCCACAGCCTGGCCCCACCACTGACGAGCTGCAAGGCCTTGGGAAACTCACTTGGGTCTCCCCGTGCCTCAGTTTCCTGATCTCTGAAGTGAGAGCACTATTATCTCCTGTCTCAGAAATCGTGGTGTAGATTAAAGGAGTTATCTGTGGCTATTACCACTGTCCCCTGCCGTACTTTACCCTGCTACTTCTAGGAAAGTGCACTCACCAAAACTCAGAAAGTTCTCCAGTTTCCTCCTGCAACCCACTTTGAGGCTATGCAGGACCCTGAAGCCCAAGGAGCAGCCGGGGCCCCTCAGCACATACAGCAGCAGGTGCACGTACACACAGGGGCACAGCTCCCACCCAGGCTCCGGCCCCTGACACTGGGCTCCACTAGAGGGGAGGCAGACAGAACTTCCTCACAGTCCTCTTCAGGCACCCCCAGCCCCCTCCAGCTGACCTTCCACAGAGGTGCTCCCTAAGAGAGAAGCAAGATCCCAAACTCACCAAAAACACGAAGGGGATAGGAGCCAGTCCCCAGGGCCATGTCCAGCCAGTCCTCACTGGGAAAGCCAGCAGGTGGGTCTCTGCCTCTCTCGCACCCTCAGCAGAGTCCCTCACCAGAGCTGCCCTAGACACCTCAGAGCCCACCATTTTGTCAACCAGGGTACCAGCTTACCTGGACAGGGCAGGGTTTCTAGGAAGGATCAAAGCCTCTACCAGCTGGCAGACCCTGCAGCAAGTCCTGAGGGGGAGGGTTCAGTTCCACCCGGCCCCACCTCCAACCCAGAGGCCAGCGAGAACACTGCACCAGGCAGGGATGTGGGGACTGTGACTGTGTGTGTGCCCAGGCGCATGTGCACCAGCACACGGTACAAGTGCGCATGTGTGTGTGCGTGCGTGCCTGGAGAGAGGAGGGGAGTGCGAGTGCAAGTCTAGGGACTTATAAACCGTGTGGAAGAATTTGTCTCAGATGTCAATTGAAAGCATTTTCAAATGTGTACCCCACCCCCTCTCCAGGAACTGGGGAAGTGAGAGGGCTCAGGAACCCAATCCTGCCTCCTGCTCCCCAGCCCCTAACCGGCCTGGGGGCACAGCTGGGGCCTGCACCACCCTTTCCTGGCCCTGCCCTGCCTGGGGAGCACAGAGCTGAAGTGAGGAGGGCAGCAGCTGCCATGACCCCCCTCCCCCCCCTCCCCGTTGCTGGGGAAAGGCCAAGAATCCTGTCCCCTCCTGGCCCCCATTTTGTAACTGCTGCAGAAACAGACACAAAATGGGGCACCCTAGCCTGGCACCAGTGGCTTGTCCTCAGCCCTTTCTCCTGTCATGGCTCCAGGGGGCAAGAGCAGAGGGCAGCCATGGCTTCCCTCCTGGGCCAGGGTCCCCCCAGGGGGGAGGGGGGGGCTAGGAAGAAAATGGCTCTCAATGCCTCCTCACCAGTCTCCATAACTGGGCTGAGAGGGGACTGAGGGACCTTGTCCTTCCCCTTCTGCTCCCTGCTGCACTTCATCTCAAAGCTGGGAGACCCAGGCTGACCACGAAGGAAGTGCTCTCAGGCAGCCTTCGAGGGGCCTGTGCTCTGCCTCCTGGGGTTGCCTGGGGTCTTGTGATTTGGCCCCTCCAAGAAGCTGACCACAGGCTGGACCTGACTGCAGGCCCTGTGACTGGGAAGGAGGGTATCTTGGCCTTGGCCTCCCTGCCCCCCACATCCCCTCTTCTTAGAGCCGCAGTCTCAGAAGCCAGGCAGAAAGGGGCTAGTCTGAGTGGGCAGCTCAAGGCCCTCTGCCCCCAGCTAACCGGCCAGAGTGGGGAAGTTCCACTGCCTTTGAAACTGATGTCTTTCTCTGGCAGGGGCAGTGTAGGGATGGCTTCGGGTCCCTGCAGATCTTACTCTTCGGGGACCCTAGGTACTATCCCCACCTAGGTGGCTCCAGAGGATGAAGGACCGACTGAGAGTGCGAAGGTGAGGTGCCCTACCCCACCCCAGGCTGAGGGCAGACTTCACCCCTACAGGGCTATCCACCCTAGGCTCCCCAGGGGCAAGGTCTGAGCCCAGAGGTCCGGTCCGCTGGGGGGTGTTCCCAGATGGGAGGCCAGGCTGGGTTGGAGCTGTGACTTCCTCTGGGCCCTGCCGGCACTGGGAGGTCCTCTCTCATGGAACAAACCGAATGATGGAGATGTGAACTGCGTCTGTGATGGATGTCGTAAAATATGCGGGAAACCGACGCCCCACGGTGGGAATGAACGCCTTAGCGCCCCCGAGGGCAGGACAGACTGCTGCTCTCACCCTCCTCAAGCTGGCCACTGGCTATGGCGACAAAAGCGCCACTCGCCTGCCCCCGGCCCCTGCCGCCCGCCCACTCCGCGCACCCGCACCCTCGCCCTGGGCCCCTCGGTACCTTCCACGGGTGCTGCTCCCCTCCTCTGGGCGCCCCACGCGCCCTCCCCACGCTGCCCTGGTTCCTCGAGCTCCCTTGGGCTCTGGCGCCCCTAGTCAGATGGGGCGCTCCCCCTTCCCCGCGCGCGGACCCGGCTCCGCCAGGGGAATAAACAAGCCGCCTGCGCCGCCGTCCCAGAGGAGATGAAAGCCGGGGTTCCTCCTCTGATCATGAAACAGGCTGAAAGGGTGTGGGGCTGAGCCTTTATCTACTTCATACTCGGAAATGGTTTTAGAATGAACTGCTAAGATAAGCTTCCTCCGACGTTCCTCGGTGTTGGAGGCTTGCGGAGCGCAGAGTACGGATTTGGGGGCATTCTGATTTGGGCAATGAGCCAGTAAAGCGAACTCGCTGCTGCACGGGACAGCAAGTTCTAGCTGCGCTCGGAGAGCAACGGGCGCCCGCGCCTAAGCGGGCACTGACCTCCAGGCGCCCCGACCCCCGAGCAGGGCCAAAGCGTAACCGACCTGGAGGGCCCACCGGATTCTCTCCGCAGGGCAGGGCCCCCAGATCCCAATCCCACCGCAACCCAGCGTCCCCTGCCGTCTAGGGACTCGAGGAGCAGCCGCAGGTGTCTTCCCTTAACTGTCGGCTCAAAACCAAATCGAAGGGGGACCAGCAGTTAGCGTAATGGCTATGGCACTGGACACCCATGTAGTGTGCGTGCGCGCCCAAGATCCCGAGAGGAGAATAGAGGAGAATGGAGGAGAGGGATTGCGCCGTGGCCATCCCCCCTGGGGCTTGATTTCTTGTTCTGTCTCTCTGTCTCTGGTGAGCGTACAAGCCCTATAGCAAAAACCTCTAAAAACAAACAAACAAAAACAAATCGAAGGGTGAGAAGTCGGAGAGTGGTTTCCCTGTGCGAAGTCTCCATTTCTTTGCCCACAGACGGAAGGTGCACGGGTGCATTCATTTGGTGCACGCCCCGTAGAGATGCACATTTAAGATAGGTGCACTCCTATGCAGGAATATTCCACTGCGAAGAAGTTTACATGAAAAATTATGTGTGTTGGGAAGTGTGGGCTCTCGCCCAGCCGCCTAAAAGGACTGGGCTGCAGGAACCCGCTAGGGTCCACAGAAAATCCCGGTTTCTTTTTATCCCTAACATCCAGGGGTCTTCAGGAAGGATCCTGGATTGCTGGAAAGATGCCAGAGCCGGGATTAGAGGTAAAGGGGGCTGGTGGCACCTAAACTGAGATCAAACCTGGGGAGCCACGTGATCTCTGAAAGCGACAAAACCACTAAACTGATTTCCACTTCACACACACACACACACATACACACACAGACACACACATACAGGGTTCTACCCCCCCCCCAGCATTCTAAAGAAATACTTTCCTTGACGGGAGGGGCAGGGTGAGGGTGTGCGGAATGGATGCTGTTTTGGAAGGTCAGTTGCTTCTCTTAGATTTTTTTTTAGGGCACTTCCTTCTGATAGACTTTTGCTTTCAGAAAATACTTTAAAAAGAGATCAAAGCACTCTCTCCCCAACCCACTTTCCCAGTGTCTTCAATCCTTACTTCTCTTATCATCCACGCCACTGGGTTCTGACGCTCTGTATACAGAGCGAGGGCAATTGGCTTTGAAGCCCCGGATTAAGCCAGGCCAAATCCTTGCCTCAGAATAACAAAAAATACAGGTTCAGCATGAGTTCTCATCGGTAGTTCATTTTTCAAACCAAATTCACTGTCACTAACACAAGCAACATTGAACTCAACAGGCTCTGAAGGCTGATAGTGAAGATTTATCTGGTGGCAAAACCATGACCTAGGAGTAGGGCAGTTAGATGGTTAGGAAATTTTCATTTTTGGGAGGTTTATATTTAAATTTTTGTGGAGCTCAGTTTTATCTGTGTTTGGGAGAAAATGCAGTTTCTCACATGTATCGAGCTTGGCAGGGATGTGAGGCCAAGAGAGGAGTCTGTTCTCTGCAGCTGTCAGCATGGACCGCTGGGCTGGGCGCAGGGGCTGAGGACAGAGACTGCTGGGGAAGGGGTTAGCCCTCGTTTTACACCTGACTTTTTGGGTCTCTGAGCATTCAAAAATGGATGTCTTGGGGGCTGGCAGGTGGTATGGTGGCTGAGGGTGCTGAATTCCCACATGGCCGACCACGGTTCAAGTTCGGGACCTGTTGGCTTGTTCTCTCTCTCTCTCTAAAGTTAAATAAGAATAATTTAAAAAGAAAAGCGAAATGGACGTCTTACACCGAGGTTGGCATTTTATTCACCAGATCAAACTGACAACTCAATGTCAGTGAAGGGGCCTATCCAGTGAAGGGAACTCTTCTGCCCTTTAGCCTTCTGACTTTCCTGGACCCAAAGGCTAAGGCAGAAGGCTTGTGACCTAAGAACTCAACTTGGCCTGAGCCACTCTGGTCCCTTTTTCCAGGACCTGCTTCTTCCCTCACTAGGTGGCAGTTATCATGTCCCTAAGCAACCAGGGTCTCCCAGGCAGAGCGACAACCCACATAGAACAGCACCCTTTTAAAAAGCAATCCAGGGAATGTCTCGAAGTTGGGGCTTTGTTCTGGGCATGGGGTGCATCTCTCCTGGACCTGAGCAGAGCTGGCTGTGGCCTAACTCCCCCCATCCCAGGCTGGTTTATGTTCTCTCCATGCTCCTCCAGCTCTAGCAGTCTAGGAAGCCATGATCTGAAGCTCAGAAGAAAGGTCTAGATTGTCTGCTGAGAAATGGGAGTGTTCCAGGAAGGGTTCCAGTAATGACAGAATTTAGGGGGAAGAGAGAGACACTGGATAGGTTGCCAAGAGAGGACTGAGGGGAGGGAAGGGGTCTCTGAAGAGTGGGCGGCCATGCTGGAAGAAATGAGGACTATGTGAACAGTGGGGTTGGGGTGGGAGGAGGAGGCCATTGACCTCCTTAAAGACTAGACCTGGCTCTAGAACTTTCTGCCAGAAATGAAAGGCTACAATGAGTCTTTAATTGGCCAACATCATCATAGCCAGTTTCAGGTTGTTATCATTTCCTTAGGGTCCGCCTCTAAGCCTCCACCAGGATCAGGCACCAACATCTGCCTGAAACAGTCACCTCTGGAAGTGTGTGCGAAAACCTGTGTGTTGAGGGGACGGAGGGAGGAAGACCCACACAGGTGCAGGAAACCCCACTGAGGAGAACCACAAATGCCTTTTGTTTAAAATGGCAGATGCCAAGCCTGCCTGGGGAACTTGCTGGCCATTTATTTTCAAGAGACAAGTTACGTCTGCTGCCTAAAAGTGGAAGTTCTAGATTTTTCTTTCTTCTTTCCCTCCATCTACCCCAGCAGACACA